ATTAGCTAAGATGAGGAACAGAGAGCCCCTGAAGTGGGAGAAGAAGAGAAGATGTGAAGATTTAGGAAATTTTAGAGCTGGAAGACAACTTTAAGATTGTCTGGTCCAATTGCCCTCATTTTTCAGTTGTAGGGGCTGGGAAGTAGAGAAGTGACTTGCTCAGTGTCAAAGGATCAGCTTGTGGAAGAGGAGAACAGGAACCCTGACCCGCGGATCCCTGGCCCTGCCCTGTCTCACAAGGCTATGGAAGCAAGTATGTTGGCACACAGCTACTTGGCTGTTTACCTGCTGGCATCTATCTTGTCTCTTGGTTCTCGGGCTACCAACCAATTCTGAGGTTCTTGGGGTTTCTACTTTGTCTGCCTCCATTCTTTATTTACTCATGTTGTTCCTCTGAATCCACCCTCCCTTGACTTCCTATAGTCTCTCTGTCCTCCTCATCCCTGACCTCCAGCATCCCGATGGGCCTCCCCTACCTTGTGCCATGGTGGCTGCCTCCGCTCCTTGGGCTTCTCCTCACAAAATAGGTGGATAGCCTGGAGCTTCGGGAAACTGGTCCTGGAGTGTCTGCTTCCCTTTCCATCCCCAAGGCTTCAGGAGACACCAAAGGCGGGGCTAGCTACCTCACTGCCACCTGCTTATTGGGCAAATCGCAACTGGTTTTCTCACTTGCCTTCAGGATTTTCTTGGCAGTGTTGCTCGTCTGGGATGAAGTGAGGTGGCCAATGAGCTGACAGGGCCTTCTGCCATGTGGGCCTTTGATAGCTCTTGGGCAATGGGGCATTCCCTGGTAGGTGCTGTGCTGTGGCAAGGGAGCTAGGTGAGAGAGGTGAGCTGATGGGGCCTCTAGACGGATGAAGGGGGCTGCACCTCTGCAGAAAGGAATATCAGTGTCCTAAAACTTCAGCTCACCGCTGAGAGAACCTCTTAAGCCTAGAACTCTGCTTAGAACCTGAGCCCTCTCTTTTATCCTGGAGAGTCGCTTCCTGGACATCAAATGCAAACAGAGCCCACTCTGGATCACTTTTGTATGATTTTTTTGGCATTTATTTTTTGGCAGAGGTATTGTCTTGAGTGAGACCTGCCAGGTCCCAGGTGACTCTCAAATGAAAGCAGTAGAGGGAAAAAACTTGGCAAGATTCATGGGAGAGTTTTGAATATAGATGAGAGGGTGGGGATAACAGTAAGTGACCTTGCTTCTAGTAAAAAAAAAAAAAAGTATAAGTCCTTGTAGTGAGCCTGTAAGAGAGAAAAGAACAGATGGGAGAAGAGAGAGGGAAGGAGAGGGGGAGGGATTGGGTGGGACACTTTAAAGTACCCTGCCCCCACACCTACCCTGCCTTTCCCTATTGCGGGACACTTCTCCCTCTGTCTCCCTGCTTTCTGGGTCCCTTGTCTTCTCTTCTCAGGAAACTCAGTCACCAGCTTTCATTCTCTCTCCTGTATTTTTAACTCTGTCCCCAATCAGATTTTAAAGTGTGTGTATATGTGCGCATATAGAATTGACTGCCTAACATTCAATCCAAAATGAAACTTGTCCCCTCTCCCCTTCCTCCTGCATCTCTGGTCTTGGTGAGTGAGGATGGTGTCCACCCAGTCACTCTGGGAGAAACCCAGGTGCCACCTCATCCTTCTCCATCTTCCTTACCTCCCTTAGCCCATCAGTTGCTGAGCCTTGTCCAGTCCAACTCCTGATTATTTCCTAAAACTGGCCGTGCCCTTGGTCCTGACTTTATTGAAGCTTCCCTTGCCTGGACTCGCTCCTAACCAGCCTCCCACCCATCCTTTTTCCAAATGAATCGCCAAAGTGATTTTTCCCAAGTGCCAATTCAACCAAGTTGCTTAAGGTCCAACAGTGGGTAAAATCCAAACTTCTCAACATCACCCCCAAAGCCCTTCAGGATCTTTCCCTTCCTGTCTGGAGTCCAGGCAGGCAAATTCCTTCTCAGATACAGACCTGCTCTCCCACACCTCTGTGCTCTCGCATGAGTTGGTCTCTCTCTTTCTGAAATGTTCTCCTCTCACTTGTCTACTTTCTTGTATCCAACATTACCCACCCACTCCTACTTCCAGAGAAGTCTTTCTGACTTTCTCTCTCTACCATACCAGGCATTCAAGAGCACTCCTTTTGGCATTCCCTATTAGATTACTCATATTCTACATTATAAATACTTAATCTATCTTTCCCCCTGTCTTTCTTGAGGATATGGCCTGTGTCTTACCAATAAGATCTCCAGTACTTAATAATGATAGTGGCTAATGGTAAAACCACTAATTGAACTAATAACAGCTTTTACGTTTCAGGCACTGTTTTAGTTCATTGTGTGCATTATCCCACCTAATTGTCACACCATTCCCATATAATATAGCAACTATTATCATTCCTATATTACAGATGAGGAAATAGAGGCTTAAGAACATGAGATAGTTTTTCCAAGGTCACTCACAAAGAACTGGTGGAGCCAGATTTGGACACAGACAGTCGGACTCCAGAGTCCCGTGTTAGAGTGCTTAATGCAGCCAGTACCTGAAGCATGGCTGGTTTTCCAGTTCCTACTTGTCCGATGGAATGAACAAATTAAAAGATGACCCATGCATGAACAAATAGGTAAATGCCTGAACCCACCACCACACTAGCTGAGATGGGTTAGCTTGTGGAGAAAGAAGAGGCTTTGGGCAGGAGAGCTTAATTGTGAGGGGAGACAGGAAGGTAGGTGTAGCTAGGGTGGGCAGGACTGGGGAGGTGGGGTAGCCAAAGAGGAAGGTGCTCAATGGCCACCAGGCAACAGCCTACTTCCTGGCTCTGAGCTAATGAGCAGACTTATAGGTTCTGCCTGTCATTTGATTCCTACAAATATTAGTAGGAGGGAGTGTGCTGGGGAAGGAGGCAGTTCTGATCTGAGCAGCTTATCTCTGGTCCAGGGTTAGGGAGGTAGAGGAGAGCCAGGGAAGCTGAGCAGAGTTGATAAGCACCTTCCTGTTTGGATAGAAGCAGGGCTGCAGAGAAGGAGCTCAGAGAAGACCCTGGAACACAAGTAGAGAAGTGTGGACATAACTGCCATCCCCATGGGGCAGGCCAGCTCTAGCAAGGTGAAGAGGGGAAACCTTCAGACCTTTCTTAGACTCAGAGAGACTAGGACACTAATCCTGGTCCTGTTGTGAGTCCCCAGTGGGCCCTTAGGCAAGTTTCCTTGTCTGTAGAATCTGGATCCTTGGCTCCATGGGTGCCCAGGTCTGAAAACAGAGTGAGGAAGTTCCCTGCAGATAATTGCAAAGGGAAGCCAGAACTGGCAAATCCAGGTAGGTTCCTTTGCTTCCAGCTTCTTCCCATCCCCCAAAATGGAGGCAGTCACCCAAAAGAAGTGATCTCTTTAGAATACACTTTTTCTCATTGGATCCTCACAGCAACCCACTGAGGGAAGGAAGAGCTGGCACTGCTATTATTGTTGCTATCGTTTTGACCTGAGGGAGCCATGGTCACACCACGAGAGAGACAGAACTCTGTCCAGAGCTCTTTGCTTTGTATCACACAGTGACACGGAACAGCAGAGACCCCAAAAGTACCAGCCAAAAAGACATGAGGACAACGGTCTGCATGAACACCACGGGGAACGAGAAGACCAGCAGTCAGAAGATGAGGGTGTTAGCCTGGTTTGTGCCTTTTTGCTCCACAGGCTAAAAGTGCCTTTTGCCAGATTCATCTGTGGATACCACTGCCGTGCCCAGTGGCCCTACCAGGTTGTTGTGAGAGGAAGGGAGCACCTAATCTCAGGACCTAATCTCTGGGTACTAGGTAGCAGTGGATATGAACCCCAGAGTCCTGGGCTCTAGTATGTCGGAGCTGTAAGGGAGCATTAAGACTGTCTGCTCGTCCAACTGAGGTGGAGAAATGAAACCAGTCAGACTAGCCAATGTGAAAAAAAGAAAACACTATAGAGTGTAGTTTTTTAAGCCAATTTTTAGTTGGAGAGAGAGGAAATATTTGAAAGGTCAACTGGAAAAGCAGAGATGGCTAATATCGTCATGCCCCTGGGAGGCCCAACAAAAAGCCTGCCCACCGTTTCCCCTTCAGTGACATAAGTGATGCAGCCAGGGAGCTTTGAGCCTCTAGATAGGAAGGACAGTGATTAAGTAAAGGAGGACTGGGCACTCTGCAAATGGAGCAGTTTCAGATTTCCACAGGAGCCAGCCTAGCTACCAGGTCTCCTGTGGGCGGGTGGTAAGCCACCTGGAACAAAACAGTGACAAAGCAGTGACAGAGCCACACAGAAATGCCCATGGCATTTAATGGAGACAGGTGCAGCTGGTATATAGGGTGGAGTGTGGGTGTGCAGACTCCTGCCCTTCCTGCCCAAAGCAGCCTGCGATAGCAAAATAAATACAAAACAGAGAGGAAGAGGAGGAGGAGGAGACCAGGGTGGTGAGAGGAGCAGAGTGAACCTGCAGAGTCACTGGGCCGGTGAGGAGTGGAGAATGGCAGCCACACCTTGAGAACCTACAAGAGGACGTGCTCCTCTGTGTTTCTGGACCGTCTAAATTTTCCATAATGAAGCAGTGTCCATTTGTAATGATATCTTTATTTTTTATTGAGATATAGTTGACATATAACATTGTATAAGTTTAAGGAATACAACATCTTGATCTGATACATTTATATATTACAATATGAATAGCTAACACGTCCATCAGGTCCCAAAGTTATTATTTTTTTTTTGTGGTAAGAAAGTTTAAGATCTGGTCTCTTAGTAACTTTGAGGTATATAATACGGCATTGTTAACTATAATCTCAGTGCTGTGCATTAGATCTCCAGAACTTATTCTTCTTCCAACAGGGTGTTTTATACCCTTTGACCAATATCTCCCTAGTACCCCATCCCCCGCCCCTGGCAATCACCATTCTATTCTGTTTCCAAGAGTTCAGCCTTTTTAGATTCCACATACAGACATTCCTCATTTTATTGTGCTTTGTTTTATTGAGCTTCACAGATGTTGTGTTTTTCACAAATTGAAGGCAAGACCCTCCACCAGCAAAAAGATTACAATTCATTTTATTGCAGTGGTCTGGAACGTAACCTGTAATATCTCTGAGGTACGTCTGTATACATGAGGTCATAGAGCATTTGTCTTTCTCGGTCTGACTTATCCCTCACTTAACATAATGCCCTCAGGTTCCACCCATGTCGTAGCCAACGGCAGGACTCCTTTTTTTCTCACAGCTGCATAATATTCCATTGTGTATATATCACATCTTTTTTGTCCATTAATCTGTTGGCATTTATGTTGTTTCCACAACTTGGCTATTGTCAGTAATGCTGCAGTGAACATGGGGGTACAGATATCTGTTTGAGGTAGTAATTTTATTTCCTTCAGATATATACCCGGAAGTGGAATTACTGGATGATATGGTAGTTCTAGTTTCCATTTTTGAGGAATCTCCATACTATTTGCCATAATGGCTGAACAAATAGACATTTCCCACAACAGTGCACAGAGTTTCCTTTTCTCCACATTCTCGCGAACATTTATCTCCTGTCTTTTTGATGATAGCCATGTAACGATAACTTTAAAATACACAGTGAAACGGGGGAAAAAAACACTAGAAAGATAGATGGCAAAATGTTAGCAGTGATTTCTTTTGGGATGGGAGAGCGAGATATTGGTGATTTTTCTTTTGTTTCTTTTCACTTTTTCTGTTCTTTCCAAATTATCTAGAATGAGAACCATAAAAAGGAAATACAGGAAAGTGGCTCCCTGTCCTTCAAATGACAAAAACAAACAAGCAAAGGAAGAGAGGCTGGGATCAGTTAGGGTGAGTTGGAGAGGCTGAAAGATTAGGGAGAATGAGTGGGGTGAGGGACCGAGAGGAGAAGATGGGGTCAGGGAAAGCTAGGGCCTGTTTCGGGGGGCAGCCAACTGTGAAGTGCTTCCCAGTTATCTTGAGCCACCCTGAGTGGGCCCTGCCCAGCTGTCCCTATGCTCTCAGGCCAGCAGAGAAGTCCTACTGGGCATCTTCTTTCCAATCCCCAAGCACTGCAGTCACTGTCTTCCCAGTACATTTAGGCTGTCCTCCCCCAGAGCTCCCAGCAGCCTCTGCCGGCAGGCTAACTAAGACAGTTTTAACGTGGAGACTGATCCTTGATGCCAGAGAGGCTGACTTAGAAGGATCGTGTTGGGCTTATTTTGTGCAGGGGCCCTTAAAGGAGGAAAGAGAAGACAGGTAGGTCAGGGAGGGCACAGCCATACATCAGGCAGCCAAGCCAAGAGAATTAGCTGGTAGCAATAAGTAGCTTTTTAACACAGAAGAGAAAATACCAGTGATCAATAAAGATGTCTCTATAGTCTCTTTCCAAGATACATTGTCTCTTCTCAAGATGCACAGGGGTTCTAGGAGAGCTTCATTCACCCCCAGGCAGGCTGGGAAGAGGACAGAGGAGCAAAGATAAAACACACCTCCAGAAGTAGGGCGGGTCAGGGAGGGGACTGGGAGGGCATTGGAGGTACAAAGGAGGAAATTTGAGGAGTCAGGGAAGGCATCAGGAGGGCAGGGTGGGACCCAGGGAGGTCTGGGTGGGGACTAGGAGGTCATGAGGGGAAGTGGGCAGGGGAAGGGCTGCGGGGGCAGGAAGGGCCTGAGGAGGGTGGGGGTGGGACTCAAGAAGCCCTGGCTGCAGCTACAAAAATATCCTTGTAGCCCTTGATCTCTTTGACTTCGTTGCTGCTGATGAGGACTTGTAGCTGGTGAGGTCCAGATTTGAAGGGGTAGAGGTCCAGTTGAATTTGGATAGTGTGTCCTGCCACCAGAGTCCCAAGGCTGAAAGTCAAAAAGAGCCTGTTAAGGTCTTGAGGAGTAACTGCTGGGGTGGGTGATCTGGTGTCCCCTCATGGTTGCTAAGCACCTCCCACCTCCCAACGCCACAGAGCCAAACTTCCCCAAGGAGGGTGGGAAAGTGAGTACAAGAAGACACCATCCAGGAGCCTGAGGACCATGCTCGAGGCAGCTCTTATCAGAGACCAGCAGACACAGGTAAATGGTGATGGCACTTACTCATTTGATATCTGCCCATGGATGAGGCCACTTCCCTCTAGCACCATCATGCAGTGACTCAGAGCGACCGTTTGAGTGTTGGTGAAGGTGATGTGGATGCTCAGTGCTTTGCCCACCTCAGCCCTCTCAGACAGCTGTGTGGAGAGAAGAAAGGGATACCATGGGCGACTGGCCTCATTCCTGCGGCCTCACTCCCCCATTCCTTTGTTGACCACCAGCGACTATTTACTTAGAGCGAAGAAAGTGCAGTTGGGAGAAAAGAATATGAGCTGAGAGTATTTAAGGTTAACACACATCCTGGCCTGTCTTAGGAGGTCATGATATTGCAGAAAGCCACCACCAACTGAAAACTACCCTGAGCTGAAATCTATTTCCCTGTCCATCATCTAGTTCGGGATGGCAATTAGATTTCAATTTAAGTGCCAGCTCCTGTCCATTAGTTGTGGCTAATGAAAATGTCATGTTAAAAAGGATCCTGAGGACAAGTCCAGAGTCAGAGAGTCCTGACTGATTAGTAGCGTCTGACAGAGGTATAGGATAAGGAAGTTGTGTCATGTGTGCCATCTACATGCCATTAGCGATGTCATTCTGAGGCCAAGGTCACAGGATATATTAATGGCAGAGCCAGCACCTGACCCAGCTGTCCCAGGCCCCAGCCAGGACCTTTCCCCCAAGCTGCTCTGTCTTCATATACATCAGCAGACACATTCTGAGTTTTTCCAGGTATGTTCAGTGCATCGTATGTGAGGTCAGTGTCATAGGGCAGCAAGGCCTGTGAGTGGGAGGCCTGGATTCTGTCCCACTCACTTCTACAGCCCTGGTGCCCAGTGCAGTGCCAGCCAAATGATGCATATTCGGTAAACAAGTGTTGAACTGAAATGAGCTCTAACCACCCAGATTGTACTGTGTTATGTTCTGGTGCAACCAGAGAATCAAGGAGAAGGAAGAACACTTCCTGACTTCTCTAGAATTCAAACAAAAAAAACAAGACCCTTGTACTCTAATGAGGGTCTCAAAGTAGAACAGGTAAAAAAAATAAAAAATAAATAAAAAGAACTTTGGAATCCAGCATAGTCACACAAATCATGCCCAGGTCTCTTACCAATGGGGACCAATTAATAGCTTACTTGGCATCTGATGAGTTTGCATCGGATCCTGTTATGACCAGGCTCTAGATAACGGACAGGGCCCTGACCTCAGCACCAGGCTGTCCGCACTTGCGATTCTGCCCACTGTTTGCCCCACCTGGAGACTGCCTGGCATGACTTCGCCTGACAGCATGCCCAGGTGAAAACCGTCAGGTGGACAAATAGTTTATGATACAGAGACACTCAATTCTTGTTCTGGGTGGGGGTAGGATGTGCCATTGGGAATCTATCAGGTATGAAACCAGATTGAGACTAGGCCGAGGGCAAGTCTCTCAGAGTGGGAAGAGAAGGAGGGGAAAGGAGGCTCCTGGTAATAAATGGGGAACATCCTGCCCTTCATTTATCCTTCTTCCACCTGTATTCCTTCCTCATGCAGTAGTCTCTCCAGCCCCTCAAAACTCTGAACTCAAAATCTGAGGCTCACCTTTTATGTTTCCCTCCTTGTCACACCCATCTTATCAGCAATCGCCTCTTGAATTTGACTTGTCTCTGTCAAATCTCTCTCCTCGACTCCAACTCCCAGTCATTGCTTTTCTTGTCTCTGCCTCTGCAAACCTATTTCCTCATCTCCATTTCAGGTCTCTATATAGTGTCTTCCTATATCCTCCATTCCATTTGCATCATCTGTAAAATGTCATCTCTTCTGGCTTCTTCATGCCCTGCCCTTCATGCTTTGCACAGAGCACAAAAGACCACACCACACCTTTAATCATCCATTTGGTGTCGAGGCAAGGACCATGTCTCATTTGCCACTATACTCCCAGCCCCGGGGCTGGGTGAGTCAGAGGGCCCCTGGATCTCATCTCTGTCCATATGTCTTACCTCAATAGATAAGTGGGGAGGATCCAGAGATATATCTTTGAGGACCAGTATGGACTTCCCTGTCCCCTCCACTTTGGCAATGCCAGACACGCGGATCAGCTTTTCATCCGTCAGTTTGTTTCTGTAATTGTTGTAAGGTAGCAAGAACGGCCACTGTATCTCTAAGCACAGACAAAAGGCATCATGAGTCTGGGGAATGGATCTCAGAAAGAGAGAAAGGAAGCATGTGTGAGAGAAAAATTAGTTAGAACATGTGTGTGAGTCTAGATGGGTGTGTGAAAGTGTGTGTGTATTTAAGAGAAAGACAGTGTGCTTACCCTGCCCTCTCTGCCCCCAGAGGTTGCTGCTGTGTTTCACTCAGTGGGATGGCATCAGAGGTACAGCACTTGGCATTCAACCTCCTGCCAACAGCAGCTTCACTGCCTAGCATGTGTGTGTGTGTCTGTGTGAACGCATGCATGTGTGTGTTGGGAATGAGGGAGTCTCTGTGTGATCTGGCTGGGCCAGGCCAGTTTTTTGTTCGTAGCCCCAAAGCTCCCCTCCCTGTAGGTAACTTTCTAGGTCTGCCTCATACTCACCCTCCCCAAAGTCCAGGTTCAAGTGCACTATATGCCTCCAGAGGGGCTCCCGGGTGCCACCTTTGTGCAGCAGAGCCTGTGCGCAGAAGCGGACCTCCAGTCTGATGGGACCCTGGGGGTGAGTTCTGTCTGGCACCCTCCGGGCATGCAGCTTCAGCAGCAGGTCCTTGCCCCACTCAGGTGTTCTGGCCAAGTGGAGCTGCAGCTGCGCTGGCTGATCCCCCAAACCTCCGGACCCCAGCAGATCCAGGAAGGGTGAGGAGGTCCTTCTTGAGCCCAGCATTTTCCGGGAAGCCTTCAAGAACACAGACCGCTCCTCATGGGATCCTGGCAGAAAAAGGAGATGAGAAGACATCAGTGGGAGGGGTTGAGAGGACCAATGACTTCTCTGGAAAACAAGCCACCCAACCACATGAAGTGCTGCATCAGGAGGCAATACAGCATCATAGCTGAGAATATGGGGGTTGGTGTTGCCTGGTGCTGGGTTCGATCTTTGCTCTTTCACAGCCCCTAAATCTCTCTGTGCTTCAGTTCTGTCATCTATAACCTGGGGATATCTCCTTGCCTCATAGAGTTGCCAAAAATTTAGGTTAAACGAGTTGTTCTTTGTCATCAGTGTTGCCACCATCATCATTATCATCATCATCAAATCCAGAGGCTTCTCTCTCCCATCAGCATCCTCACTTCTAACATATATGCTCAAGGCTTATAGAGCTTCACCTCTTGCCCCTGGGGTCTACTCAACATTCAGGCTTAACCCCAGCTCACCCCAAACTGTGGACCTCTCTAGAACATTTACTGTGCACTAGAGGCACTGTTCCAAGTACTTTCTGTGTATTCACTCATTTAACCCTCACCACATCCCTCTGAGATACTATTAACCCATTTTACAGATAAGAAAGTGGAGGCACAAGCATGGTAAAAATGTGTCCAGGCTCACACAGTTAGAACGTAGCAAACTCTTAATTAGTACTCAGACAGCCTGACTCCACCCAGGGCTTTTTCACAGGGAAGTCTGCTCCCTTCCATAGGCCGAGGAACCTTTTCCCTCCATAAATGTCCATCTCTCCCATTGCTGCCACCTCCACTGCCAAGAAAACTATGATGTGACCCTAGGATATAATTACCAGGTAAAATAAAGGTCATTCAAATGACCTTTTGAATGACCATTCAAATTTGAATTTCAGATAAACAACGAATAATTTTTAGGATAAGAATTCGGGACATATTTATACTCATAAAATATTTATCTGAGTTTTTCTGGAATTCAAATTTAACTGGGCACCCTATATTTTGATTTGCTAAGTCCCTACCCTGGGGCCACATGGCCAGGGTCCAGGAAAGCCCTGGGAGTTTGCTGTAAGGAGATTATTAGGTGGTGATGGTTTTAAGGTGGGAGTCATTCCCACTGGGAAGCAACACACAGGAGGTTATGCCCACCTCCCTCCCCAAATCCCCAGACTCCGCCCTGCCCCCCCCAACCCAGTACCTTCTGAATACTTGTAGAAGCTGGTGATGTTCTGACGCTGATCTGACCCTACCATCTTGGTGCTGATTTCCTTCCCGATGGAACTGGTATTATGGGCCAGAATTTCTTGGGCTTGGCCATCCCTGAAGAGCCAAATGACTTCGTCGGCGTTCACCTCGGCGTACACAAATGGGGTGTCATAGGCCAGGTGGACCTCCCCTTCCTTGATGGCCTTCACGGAGGCAGGGCCACAGCAGAACAGCCCTGTGTAGGGGAGACGTTGTG